AGATCTTGGTCAAAGTGTATGTTGATCTTTCGATTCATTGAGTGAATGCCCTAATCAACAATCCCCGGTGTATGAGGTTTGTCGATTAGTTTCTTTTGCCACATGCGAGATTTTCTCGACATGGCGAGATAGTAGTTCCGTATTAATGTGTGGCGGAGCCTTGAGTCTCGGTTGGAGACCGACTCCGTGAAAGAAAATCGTTATAGAGTATCTAGCCTATACTTCCTAAACCGCATACGAGATGTTGTTCGTGTCGGGGAGGAGAGAGGCTTTGTCAGTGGTATCAAACAGAACCGTGTGTTATAAATGTACCAGATTTGAGTACAAGTGATGGTTGTCCGTCCTATTATGGTTTGTCGACCAAGTCGATAACTTAGCCCGATGATTGACTCCACCACCAGGACTTGCGAGGATGCATGACACGTTCTAGCCTCATGACGGAGAAAATGTGTGCGTGATCTCGAGTTATGTGTGGATTGTGACGAGCTGCGTGATAGGCAGAACCCTACATGTATGGAGGTACCGGTTACCTGTTGGGACCGAAGGTCCATCAGGGAAGGACCGGGAGGGGTACTCGTCAATGTGCAGTGGTTGTAGTCAAGTCGAGGGCGAGGCGACTTGGCAAAGGGAGACCGAGAATCGGAGGGAGTACCCGAACCTCACATTTGATGTCCCCTTCTTGTACTCTCTTTACCTTCTAGTTGTTGTGTTTTCAAATTCCGATGACAGAATTCCTTGTAAGGTGGGTAGACTGTAATGCCCCGTTTGATTAGGAATTATTGGTGAATATTATTTATTATTATTATTATTATTATTAGTATTATTATCATATTAATTTTCTTTTTGCCTAATTGTTTAAATTAATTTATTTTGAAGTATTTATTATTATTCTATTATTTTGTTCGTTCAAGCCATCATATTATATTATCTAAAAAGATGATATAATGCCCCGTTCGATTTGATTTGATTAAGTCGGTCGGAAGTTCAGTTTAAATCAGACGAAGGATCGATTTATATCTTCGAGTATTGACCAAACCGAGCTAGAGTTAAACCGGGGTCAAACCGGACACTTAGAAATAATTTCCAAGTCATTTGGCCCTAAGAAGCATGTCAGGCCCACGCAGCCCGCGTCCAGCCCGCGCGCCCGCGCTGATACGGAAGTGGGTTCCGGACCCCTGCGACAAGAAGGCCGAGATCCAAGAGGACTCGAAGAGGCTGAAAATAGGGCCAAAATGATGCAAGCATGGCCTAAGAGGCGGGTACGAGCTCGTATGCGAGGCGCAAGAGCACGTTAGGAGCGGCAAGGGTCGACTATACGAGGGTCGAGCATGAGAGGGTCGAAGCTCGTAGGTCAAGGGATAGTGCGCAACCAAGCACGAGGAGGAGTCCGTGGGTTGGACGCGCGATTACACGGGCCGGCCAATGAAGTTTGCGCAAAGGAAGAGCGAGCATGGCAGAGTGGCGCGCAAGGGGGGTTGCTGCGGATGGACGGGCGCGCAGCGAGCGATGGGCGATGCGCGGGCATTGGGAGCGCTGGACGATGAGCGCGGGGCGCACGACGACACGCGCGAGGCACAAATCAAGACCGGGGTGGCAAGCCTAATCCTCGTAGGAATAGGCAAGGCGCGAATACTAATCCTCGCAGGAATAGGAAAAGCAGTTGAGTGCAGGAATGCGCGTGGTAGATCGGTGACTGGAGTAATCCTTGGAAGATCAGGAAACGTAACCGGGAGCATATTCCTAGTAGGAATAGGAATAGAGGATATGGCCTCGTGGCATGGTCCTACAAGGAATAGGAATGGCGCATGTGGGGCGCGAGGCCTTAAGCCTCGAGACGAGAGGACATACACGCATGGGTGAAGGCGGTGCAGCCCTAGTCCTCGAGGACTAGGGCAAGGCTTGAGGGCGCGCGCGCAAAGGCGTCCGAGGAGTGCTGAGGCGGCGAAGGGTTTGGGAAAGACTTGGAGCATTTTAGAATTACTTGAAGTGCAAGACAAGTAATTAGGAGATCTAGTAGATTTAGGAATTTATGGTAGTAGGATATTTACTTGCCTTAGGATTTAATATTTAATTGTTTTAATAGTTTCCTAGTAAGATTAGCATTAGATGTAATTAGCACCTATAAATACCCCATGTACCTCATCATTATTTTATATGTCTTGAATTGAGTATTGAATTGGTGAGCCAATTGAGAGGGGAACTTATGTTCTTACGTGTGTTTAAACAAGTCCGTTAGTGCGTGTTTACATACAGTGTTGGAGAGAAGGCCATTAGTGCGTCTTGAAGTCACGGTATCTAGGAGAAGGCCATGAGTGCGTCTGTTAGATACACCTATCGTGGATAAACGAAGGCCCTGAGTGCACGTTTATTCATAACCCGTATAGAGTAAAAACACGGTCCTTCATCATTGGTGCTTTCATTGAGAGGTGCTGATCGTGTTTTTATCTATCCTATCTTTTCTTTTTTTATTTCGGTTTGCCTTTTGCTGAGGGGCCGAATTTCTCTTCTTTCTTTGTTTTTGGTTCAAAATTTTCGAATTTATCTATTCGAATTTTTCAATTTTTTTCGTGAGTCTTTAAAAAAAAGTGTCATTTAGTCCTTTGTTTGATTTTTTCGGTTATTACCTTTTGTTGAGGGGCCGAATTTCTCTTTTTTTTTTGAATTTTTTGGTTCGATTTTTTCTTTTTTTTTTCGAAGAGTCAAAAAAAAAAAGAGAGTCATGATGTTACCATTAGATGAGTTGGATTGGGAGGATCTCGAATACCTCGAAAGTTTGAAGAGGGAATTAACCCCTTGGGAGCAAGAGTATTTGGAGGAGATGTACGAGCAAAAGGAGGAGTATGAAAGAAAACTCAAGATCATGGAGGAAGGGCAACAAGCCGAGGCCGATGCGAAGTTCCCAGAATCGTGCGAGCAAGAAGCCGAAGTGGTCGAGGACGAGGAAGAGATCTTGCTCGTGGTCGAAGAGGGCCTTGGCGAGAAGATGAGCATGGAGGACAAAGTAATCGATGTTGCAAGCGAGATCATGGTCGAAGAGATGTTCGAAGTTGAGATCTTGGTCGTGGCTGACGAGGGCCATGACGAGACGCGTAGGAGGTACAATACGGATGTAGGGGACGCGACGTTCCAACTTGAGATCGAAGAAGGAGTGCCCGATGTTTGGATGGACGATGATGAATCCTTGAGGACAAGGAAAGTCTCGAAGAGGAGGGAAATGATATGGAAGTGGGTTTCGGACCCCTGCGACAAGAAGGGCCGAGAGCCAAGAGGACTCGAGGATGCTGAAAATAGAGCCAAAACGATGCAAGCATAGCCTAAGAGGCGGGTACGAGCTCGTATGCGAGGCGCAAGAGCACGTAAGGAGCGGCAAGGGTCGACTATACGAGGGTCGAGCATGAGAGGGTCGAAGCTCATAGGTCAATGAATAGTGCGCGACCAAGCACGAGGAGGAGTCTGCGGGTTGGACGCGCGATTACACGGGCCGGCCAATGAAGTTTGCGCAAAGAAAGAGCGAGCATGGCGGAGTGGCACGCAGGGGGAGGCTGTTGGGTGGATGGCGCGCAAGGAGGGTTGCTGCGGATGGTCGGGCGCGCAGCGAGCGATGGGCGATGCGCGGGCATTAGGAGCGCTGGACGATGAGCGCGGGGTGCACGGTTACACGCGCGAGGCACAAATCAAGACCGGGGTGGCAAGCCTAATCCTCGTAGGAATAGGCAAGACGCGAATACTAATCCTCGCAGGAATAGGAAAAGCAGTTGAGTGCTGGAACACGCGTGGGAGATCGGTGACGGGAGTAATCCTCGGAAGATCAGGAAACGTAACCGTGAGCATATTCCTAGTAGGATTAGGAATAGTGGATATGGCCTCGTGGCATGGTCCTACAAGGAATAGGAATGGCGCATGTGGGGCGCGAGGCCTTAAGCCTCGAGGCGAGAGGACATACACGCATGGGCGAAGGCGGTGCAGTCCTACTCCTCGAGGACTAGGGCAAGGCTTGAGGGCACGCGCGCAAAGGCGGTCGAGGAGTGCTGAGGCGGCGAAGGGTTTGGGAAAGACTTGGAGCATTCTAGAATTGCTTGAAGTGCAAGACAAGTAATTAGGAGATCTAGTAGATTTAGGAATTTATGGTAGTAGGATATTTACCTTAGGATTTAATATTTAATTTTTTTAATAGTTTCCTAGTAAGATTAGCATTAGAGGTAATTAGCACCTATAAATACCCCATGTACCCCATCATTATTTTATATGTCTTGAATTGAGTATGGACTCGGTGAGCAGAGAGGGAAACTTATGTTCTTACGTGTGTTTAAACAAGGCCGTTAGTGCGTGTTTACATACAATGTCGGAGAGAAGGCCATTAGAGCGTCTTGAAGTCACGGTATCTAGGAGAAGGCCCTGAGTGCGTCTGTTAGATACACCTATCGTGGATAAACGAAGGCCCGAAGTGCACGTTTATTCACAACCCGTATAGAGTAAAAACACGGTCCGTCATCACGCGCACAGCCCGCGCCCGGTGCCCAGTGCAGTCCGCGCCCGCGCACAGTGCAGCCCGCGCTCGCGCCCAGTGTAGCCCGCTGATGACGGATCGATCTTTTGTCTATACTGGGTTGCGAATAAACGACGCGCTGAGGCCTTCGTTTATCCCCGATAGATGTATCTAGCAGACGCACTGCGGCCTTTCCTAGACACCGTGACTTCAAGACGCACTATTGGCCTTCTCTCCAACACTGCATGTAAAGACGCACTAATGGCCTTCTTTATCACACGTTAAGAACATAAAGTTCCCCCTCAAGATTGGCTCACCAATTCAATACTTCATTCAACTTGTAAAATATGATGAGGTACATGGGGTATTTATAGATACCAACTATCTCTAGTTCTAATCTTACTAGGAAACTAATAAAACAATTAAATATTAAATCCTAAGTCTAGAAAGCAATAAAATCCTAAAGCTACCCAAAATACTAATGCTTGGCTTGCACACCAAGCAAATCTAGAAGCTCCCTAATTAAACACATGCTAAAACCTCCTCACGCCCAAACTCCTTCGGCCGCTTCTTACGCGTCGCGCGCGTACCACCTGCGCGCGCCGCCTCGCCATTCCTACTCCTCGTTGCGCGCGGTAACCCGCGCGCTTACCCCCCACGCGGCGTCCTTTGCGCGCGCGCGCCATCCGCCGACTCCACCATGCGCGTGTGTGCCCAGCGCCCTAGCGTCGCCTAATCCTCCCATGTCTAGGGCACCACCCGCGTCATCCCACTCGCGTGCTTCCGCGCACGCCCCGCACCTGCCGACCTTTTCGCGCGTGTTGTGTCGCGCGCCCGCGCCCGTGCATGCGCGCCCTTGGCGCCTGATCCTTTCCCCGCATGAACCCCGCACGTCCCTGTTACCATCCCAGTCCAGACCGCCTACGGCGTTCCCGCGTTCACCCGCGCACCCGTCCATCTTGCGCCCGCGTTCTCCCCGCCGAACCCGCGTGCGCGGCCTGTTCGCCCACTCGTGCGCATCAAGTGCCGATGCGCACC